TAAATAAAGTTAAATTTTTAAAAATGGGTTACCTTTAAACAACTGTATCTTCTTTGATCTGTGCGTTGACCAAAAATGATGACTTCTGCAGAAAACCGTAAACTGCTTTCCAAGCAAAGTCCATGCCGCTAACTCATGGCTATACGTTCTTGTAAGAACGAGTGACGCTACACAGTTCTGGAAACACGTTTGTAGTTGTAGTATTTTTAGTCTGCTCAGCTAATTACCTCAAGAATCTCTATCACTACTGACAAAGAAATCAGTTTAAGAGTGACAAGATTAAGTAAAGAAAAAGCACTGAAGATAAATGTGAAGAAGAAACTTTGGGCCAGCCGGTCTCATGGTGGTTATGGTGGCTGGGTTCCACGTAGCTCTCTGAGTGGTTTGAGTCCCAGACCCAGGGGCATGATAAACACACTGGACACGTGTGCACGGCATGCCTCAAGTTCTGAAAGTGGGAGGAATAGAGGAGAAGGGCCTTGGCATGACTCAGTCTGCCAGCCCAGGTCAGAGGGCGCCTTCCTTCCTCAGGTCACTGCGCAGGGACTGCGTGCATGGACTGAGCTCAATCTGCATAGCGTATTAACAATAAAAGAATGAAAGTGGATGCTGTGAGAACAGGAGGCACTCAGAAGTATTTTCCTAGGGGGTTTTTCCCCTGCTCAAACTTTGAAAGGTTCTATATAATTTTTTTGTTCTTGAGAATTCTTTTTTCTTTTTTGCTAAAGGGCGCATGTGGTTGCCGGAGAGATAGAGACAGAGACAGTAAGCAAAAAAATCACCTCCACCACAGTCCCTTCTCCTCCATTCTCCTGTCAGGGTTTTGGGCACACACATACACATGCCTGGTGCGAGTTTAAGCCACCGGGTCCGGGACGAGAGGGAACTGCAGTCAACCATGTGGGAGTCCAGCGACGTAACCATGTACTTATTCTAATAAGAACTACAGTTGCCACACAGTTCTACCTCACTCTTGGAGAAACTACGAGCTACAGCTATCCTCCATCAGAGGTGTCCTTACTTCTCGGGGGCATGATTTCTCATTTCCCTCTCACTGTCTCTATCTCTCTCTTCCCCAGAAGACAGAAGCAGCAGGTAACATCTAGAACTGAGAAAGATAAAAATAATGAGTCTGGCCAAAAAAATGCCTTCATAAATTTAAAGTATCGCAGAATATCTGCAGGTTACCCCGGTGCATACAATGAGTACACAGCAGTAAAATTACCAGTGGCATCAGAACACGGAAAAGATAAAAGACAGACAGGAAGAGGAGGGGAGAACAGTGGACGAAGGCTGCAAGGCCTCAGGAAGACAAACGTAAGTGGTTTCTTCATACCTTGAACCACTTAAAGCCCAAATGACTGGTCTCATGCAATGTGTCACTCAACAACTTCTGATAGACCGTGAGAGGCAGAATGGTTGAAAGGAAGATAAGTGGGAAAGAGAGAGGGGAAAGCGGGCCATTAAAAGCAGACTGAATAGAGCCACTCTGACAGTGCTGAACACTGTTCTGCCATGTGACATACAGTCAGCAGTCATGTCTGTTTATCCAAATTAGCTGAAAATTTACACCCACATAAAAACGGGCACATGAAGGCTTGCAGCAGCTTTCCTGGAGCTGTCACCTCTGGAAGTAAGCACGGTGTCCTTGCACGGGTGAAGGAATGAACAGGCTGTGGTCCCTCCGTGTGATGGAGTATTACCCAGAGATAAAAAGCAAGCTATCAGGTCACAAAAAGACATGGAAGAACCTTAAATGTAAAGGGTAAGTGGAAAAAAACAAAGCAAATCTGAAAAGGTTCTATATGGTTCCAAGTACCACCGAAGGAGAAGGCCAAACTATAAAGACAGAGGAAAGATGGGGTGGGGGGATGATCAGGTGGGACCCAGGAATCTTCAGGGCAGGAAACGCACTCTGCATGGCACTGGAATGGCAGCTACGCGACGCTTACATTTGGCAAGGCACGAGCTACACATCACAAAGACTGGCCCTAATGGAAGCCATGTGATTACTTAATCATAAATTATCACTGGTTTTAACAAATACACTACACAGACGGCACAGTGGTTACGTCACTGGACTCCCACATAGCCAACTGTGGTTCAAGTCCCAGACCCAGTGTCTTAAAACTCATACCCAGCATGTGTGTGAGCATTTGTGCCCAAGATCCCAGGAAGAGATGGAGGAGAAGGTATTGCGGCCCCAGAGGCATGATTTCTCATTTTCCTTTCACTGACTCTCTCCCTCTCTATCTCTCTCTTTCCCAGAGCTCATGTCCTAAGGCAAAAACCTCTTAACATAAATTAATAAGACAAAACAAATATACTATGCGAATACAAGACATTATTAATATGGGAAACTGAGGTGGAGAAAGGAGTAAATGGAAATGTTTTCCTGTAAACTTAAAAACTGCTCTAAAAAATAGTTTATTAAGTAAACAAAACACACTCTGGGGAAAAAAAAGCATATTATAATCAGTTCACACAATAGTTTAAAAAAGAAAAGTAAACAGGGCCAGTTCTGAGCCTCTTGCTAAGGGAGCTGGATCACACTCGGCTGACTGGTTCAAATCCTGACCCCAGCAGCTTGAAAAACACCAGATGCATGTGCATACATGCCCAAGATCCACAAACGGAAGGTAAGGGTTTGAGGTGTGACCATGCTCTGTCGGGGGTGTTTCCTCTTTGTCCTCTGGCTCTGGCTCTCTGCGTCTGTCTGCTAAGTGCACTCACCCGCAGGCAAATTAAAAAAATATGAGGTCATTGTAAAAGTCATGACGCATTTTTACATAAAAAAAATGTCATGACTTTTCCGAAAACCCAGTATGACAGAAGTCTATCTACATATCACAATGACACGGTCCATTATTAACTGCCAAAATCTCTGCCGAATCCCTGATATTTAAGGCTTGCACTAAATGATGAGATCGAACCTGAAGAAAATCTATAGAAAGAAAAAGAAGTGGATATCTGGAACATAAAAGAGAGGAAGTAAGGCCAGACCTGACGCCTAGTGGTTAAAGAAGCCAAATCTTTAACCATAAGGCGACCAGTGTTTGAATAGCTCCACGGCGTGAAAAACACACGAGGCACATGTGCATGTGCACCCAAAATCCCAACAGGACGGAGAAATGGAGAAGAGATGGAGGCATGACCACGCCTCAGTGACAGGTGCTCTCTCCCTCCTCCACTCTGTCATTCTGTCTTTCTCCGGCAAGTGCAAGCATTCTGGGGAGTGTGGACGGGGTGGGAGGGATTTAAATAAATAAATAAGTACAGAGGTTAAGCCACATGGCCGAACTGTAGTTCAAGTCCAGGACCTGAAGGCTTGACAATCAAGCCGGGCATATGTACATGCATGCCCAAAGTCCCAGGAAGAGAAAGAAGGGGTTACTGTGTGGCCATGTCTCTGGGGAAGTGATTTCTTACTTTCTCTTTCTCCCTCTCTGCTTTCCCTCAACGAATGTACATACCTTATGGCAAAATCCTAAAAAGCAAACAAACAAACAAAGATGAGATTGTAAAAAAGGGTCACATCAAGATTTAAAAATAGAAAAAGCCCTCCCTGCTCTGAGGATAGCTGTATACTAAGGTTCTCCACTATCAAGCCCTATCTGATTGAGCACTAGGAGATAATTTGAAAAACCAAAACAAAATACTAGACAAGCATTTATCTGGAAACGGGCTGCCAAAGCCACTCATTCTGTGAAAAAACAATTTTTCCTCAGCTTTGTTTTGCTAGTAAGTATCAGCTGATTTTCTTTTTATGCGTGACACTGCAGAAGCCATCTCCTGAAGCTAACATGGCTTCATAGGAAGAACTCTTTGGGTACACAGTGCCGGAGTCAGCCGAGAAAATGAACTCCACCAAGCAACTACCTTAACTCACTCAGGGTCTGATCAAGGGGGTTCCCCAAAAGATTCGTGTCACCCTCTCACTGAACCCTTTTTATCTGTTTAGCATTTATATCCTCCCACAAAGAAATGGAAACCATTGCTACAAAAACTAAATGTCATGAGAAACTGAGAGTGTAGCTTTCATTTGTCAAAACTGTTTGTTCCATTCACATCCTTAGTTATTCTTCCTAATAAAAAGCCAAAGCGAGGGCATGGGAACCAAAAAAGATGCAGAAGACATAAAACAAAGGCTACAAACAGCAGCTGCAGAATTCTCCAGCAGCTCCCGCGGCGGAGACACCAAACCTGGGACTCCAGTGTCTGCTGTCTGTGTCCTTCACATCCGCTACTAACCTAACTTGTTCGAACTTTACCTGCTCCTCTAAGGCAGGGTACAAAATAAACAAATACTTGATATTTGAAATTAGCATAGTGAGAAATGTTCATATTTTCTCATTCTATTTACTTATTTCTCAACATTCATTTATTTATTTATCCATTTATTTGTTGTGATTTTCAAACCACCAGGTTTAGGACTAGAACCGTATAGCCATGTGGGAACCCAGCACCTTAACCACCATGCCACCTGCTCAGCCCTCGTCAATAAAAGCAGTCTAGTAGAAAATAGACAAGTTCTCCTTCATCTCACCAGACATATTAGCATATACTGCATAAACATACATGAAATCAGTCCTAAATACTAATGCAGAGACTTTTGCATTAGTCAACTCCTTTCTTTTTAGATTTTTTTGCCATAGGGCATGTGCTCTTTCCTGCAGGAAAGAGACTGAAAGGCAAAGGCAGAAATCACCCTTCTCCTCCATTCTCCTCTCGGGCTTTCGGGCATACATGAGCATGAGCCCGGCATGTTTCACAAGTGGCCAGATGTGGGACCTGATCCACAGTCGGCCATGTGGGATCCAGCACCTCAACTGCCATGCCACCTGCTGGCCCTATGTCTATTCTTATTTAATTCTAAATACTTACACGCAAAGTATTTTTAGCACTAAGAACACATGGCACATACGTTTACCTAGCTGCACCGGTCGGGCTTTACCTTGGCGTAACCGGCAGCATGGCTAGAACTGTGTAAAATTGCAGACCTGTTTCTCAGCACTGGTCCTGGCTGACTCTTCTTGTGCTAGCACCATCTCCCGCTCTGCAGTTATCTGCACACTCTCTCTGAGTGCTTCTTCCAGCTCTTCGATCCTGTCATCCTTCTTACGGAGACTGTCCTGGAAAACGACGGAAGACTGGGTGAAGTGGATTAATTGGTGAACCAAAGAGAAGCTTATCAAGAAAGGACTATTTGCTTATTAAATGCTTTTCCCTTCAGAAGCAAATCAAGGCCAAAAGGAATTTTCACAGAAGAAAGAATAAAGCAAAGAGCGAGTAAAGATGACTGAAGAAGTACATTATTAAGAGCAAAGGGCCAAGTTAGTGAAGCAAGACGGGCGAGATGTTCTCGCTCTCGGCAACAGAGAGTACACAGCTGTGTTAGGCAGCCAGGAACCGCGGGGCCACGGAGACACGCAAGGCTGTCTCTGAGCTGCTTCTGAACTGGCTTACAGCAGCACCGATGAAGCTAAGTAATTAGACTGAATGCCAGTCTCTTCCCTGCAGAGTCTGTATGAGAAGTTAGTAAGAGGCATGATATTTTGATTGTATTTTTCATACAATTGTTCACAAGCTTTAAAAAAAAGTGATGTTTCGCAACTTCCAAGAAAGTCAAGTCTTCTTTTTTAATATCATGAGAAAACTGAAGCAAAAACTGCATGTAAGTGATGGTCTAGCTAAGAATGAGCATTTAGTCAGTCAAGCAATTCTCAAAGGTCCTGATCTCCCACACAAGTTTAAAATGCAACTTTGGGGGAGGACAACAGATGAATATGAATTGACCAGAAAGACAAAATCCTACAGGACATTAGACTAAGCTGGGAGAGACCGTAAAATAAGGATAAGTGAAGAAGAATTCAGGTAGAATGAGAAATGAATTCAAAAGCACTTCCTCTTCAAATTCTTACAGGACCAGAGGATCAAGAATAAAATGCTGCCTTTCATTAAGATATGAAATGAAAGAACAAGGTTTGCTATACCATTCTCTAACTTTCAAAATGCTAACAACAAGAAAAAGTATCCTAGGAGTTATCCTTTTTTCTTTTTTTTTAAGAGATTTTTACTATAGGTGCATGGACTCACCAAAGAGACAGAGAGACAGAGAGAGAGAGAGAGAGAGATCACCCTCCAGGAGGAATGCCCATGCCACAATTTCTTCTACATTCTCCCTTCAGGATTTTGGGCATGCAGGCATATGAACCTGGCATGAGTTTCAAGCCACTGGGTCGGGGCCTTGAAGCACAGTTGATGACATGGGAGTTCAGCTCCTCAACCACTATGCCACCTGCTGACCCGTAGGATTTTCTCTTTTATCTATGCAATTTTCATTTAATTATACTGAAGATCACTTTTTTTTTTTTTAGGTTTTTATCATGAAGTGTGTGAGCTTGCAAAAAAGGAGAGAGAAAGAGTGAGGAAAAGAGAGAAATCACCCCCCGGGGGAGTGGCCAAGCCAATCCCGTCTCCTCCATTCTCCTGTCAGGATTTTGGGCATGCGCACGCGTGTGCACATGACACACACACACACACCTTCAAGCTACCAGGTTTGTGAGTCAAACCACAGTTGTCCATGTGGGAGTCCAGTGCCTTAGTGCCTTGACCACTATGCCACTAACTGGCCCCTTGCAGTTCACTTCTGACAACTTTGTCTTTAGAATTTGGGGCCAGCTGATGGTGTGGTGGTTAAGGCACTGGACTCCCACATGGCTGACTGTGGTTTGAGTCCCAGACCTGAAGGTTTGCTTTGTCACTTTCCCTCTCTCTCTTTTTCTCTAGAGAGCTCATGTGCTCTGCAGCAAATTTAAAAAATGGTAACAATGATAAATAAATAATTTAAAATCCTCCCACAGATAAAAAAAATACTTTGCTCTATTCCCATAAGTTAGGTTCTGTTTAGACCTAACTACACTAAAAGCAGTTTAACCAGATCAAAAAATGTTCTTTGTTGACATCTTCAAGCCTCCATGGGCTATCCATGGGCAGCAGAGCAAGTGAAGGTGTCTGAAAGGATGCTGAGAAGAGACACGAAGGCCATGATGGCTTCTTCAGAATCAGAGAAAACGAAATGCCACAGGAGGCCGAGGAGGGGAGAATGCACCATTAGCCCAGTCCCCTCAGGGCCTCTGGTGAGCGAGAGCAGCTCCACTGCAGTGAGTGGGACAGGTTCCGAGCACGCCGGTGCTGGCGCAGGGTACGGGGTCCCGCCCCGAGTCACGGGGTACGGGGCCCAGTATTTCATTTCTGCCCAGTCTATCCTTGCCCTCTTAATCATTTTTGGATGTCTCCTGAAAGGCTTCTGTTAGCCTAACCCAAATCAAGGCTGAAACAGCTATTCCGCGTGACTTCCCGGAAATCGGTTTCTCTCAAGCAGCTTAGGTACACCTTGGCCAGGTGAAACACAGCTTCGGGCTGTATCATTACACTTTCTGAGAGGGAAGCTCATTAGAAACTCACGGTAATGCGGCGGATCGGAGCAGGTTCTTGTAAGGTAAGTACACCCAAAACGGGGGCAAAAGCCAGAGTCTACCAGACAAGCTCAGTGGGCAAGGCTGTCTGGCTAAGAAAAGCTTTTTTTAGACTTAGTGGCAAAGCCTGGTTAAAAATCATTCTTGCTCATAAGAATGAAACGTAACTACAAATGAACAAGTGATATTTATATGTAACATCTCAAAGCAAAACTAAGTGTGACCTACTTGCTCTAAGGAAACTGTATTACGGCAGTAACAAGAGAATAAGACAACTACCCCCTCGTGTGCATTAACAAGTCCAAACAGCTCTCGATAGTGGATAAAATGGGGATCTGGTTTAGTTCTGGAATCTTTACAGATATCTGCTAAGGTAAACAAAGGAAGCTTCTTTGGTACCAAACTATACCTGAATTTCCATTAAATTTGATAATATTGAACCAATGCCAGAATGAATAGGAAATCCTTCTAGTTCTATAAATACTGGAATAGAAAACACTGTTAGCTCATAATAATTTTTTTCTTATTCTCACTCTTTCAAGAAGATTAAATACATCTTTCTTTTAAAAAATTATTTTTTCAGTTTTATACCATAAGGTACATGCATTTGCTGGAGAGACAGAGAGAGAGAGAGAGAAAGCCAGAATCAGCCCCCAGGGGAGATGGTCACACCACAGCCCCTATCCATGCCCCTCCGGGGCTTTGAGTACGCATGTATATGCACTAAACATGACTTCCAAGCCCCCACGTCCGGGACTAGAAGCACTGTAGGCCATGTGGGAGTCTAGAACCTTAACCACTACATCACCTGCCGGCCCCGAATACATTTTTCTATACTTAGATTACGTGTAATCTTGGCCCAGCAGATAGCGTGGAGGTTCAGGTGGCTGGATCCTGCATGGTGACTGCATGGTTTAAGTTCCAGACATGGTAACTTGCCGGGCGTGTGTGTGTGTGTGTGTGTGTGTGTGTGTGTGTGTGTGTGTGACCACAACCCGAGAGGTGAATGGAGGGGAAGGACTGAGGCATGGCCGCCCCTCTGGGGAGTGCGTCCTCAATTTCCCTCTCTTTCTGGTGAGTGTGCACTATGTAGCCAAAAAAATATATTTTTTTAACTTTTAGAAATACCAAAAGTGACAACCTACAAAGGATACAAAAAATCAAAAGACATTGTAGTTTTTAAGGGCAACAGAGAAACCTAGAAGACAAATGAGCAATGCGTTCACAACTCTGAGAGGAAAAAACGTTTCCAGTCCGGAAATCTGTATCAACTCTCACTCAATACCAGGGGAGAATGCCAAGGCTCATCACGTTAGGAGGGTGCACTATACCACACTGAAGAAGTGACCCTAGAAAGAGACATGGCTTCCAGAAAAACGGATCTAGCTCAGGGGAGTGGTGCAGGAAACCTGCAGGGTTAAGAGGGAGCCTAGAGAATAAATAAGGATTGGAGCAGAGAATGCAAACTCAAAACATTCCAAGGGGGGAGGAAGAAAAGCAGCTGTATAGACTACCTGTGGGTGATTAACAAAGAATGATATATTTTATAACAGTAACAATATGGGAGGAATTTCACGAGCCCAGGAAAGAGTTTGGGAATAAACTGGTGATGTGAACACAAAGAACTAAGCGACCAAGCAGAACACCCAAACAACTAAAAAGTAAAAGTCAAGTACAACAGGAAGCCCCAGGAAAACTAAACTGCGAATCACGGCACGCGGTGCTGCCATGGGAACCTCGGTAACCACCCTGGGAGAGGGGAGAGGGGAGAGGGTAGGTAGTACGTGTGATGGTCCGTACACAGCGCTAACTCCATCACCCATGAGAAGAAGTCAATACGCAACACCCAAATAAGGAAGCTGATAAACAACAAGAGTGGCATTTGGAAACATGGAAAAAAACAGCATTAGAAACAACCAAAAGAGATGACCGTGGTTGTCTACCGGACCACGCAACAGGGTTAGACAGGAATGAAGTAGCTGACTATTACGGTGACCCACTTTGTAAACAACATAAATACATATAGTTCCGATAAAAAAAATCAGAGCCAGGGGCCAGCAGATGACGTAATGATTACTTCACTGGACTCCCAGGCAGTTGACCACAGTTCAAATCCCAGACCCAGCGGCTTAAAATTCACACTGGGTACATGTGTGTGCATGCCCAAAATCCGGGAAAGAGAATGAGGGAGAAGGGACTGCGGCATGGTCTTCCTCCCTGGGAGATGACTTCTCGCTTTCTGTCTCAGTCTCTGTCTCTCCGGTGAGCACATGCACCCTACAGCAAAAACAAAATCTCTAAAATATGAATAAAATAAAATCGTAAGCAAATTGAAAAAAACAAGTCAAAAGAATAACATGCACTGCAAATAAATAAGAATATATTACAAGTGTGATTATTTCAGATACTGACACTACTCTGTCATCTGTGGGTGATTAACAAAGAATGATATATTTTATAACAGTAACAATATGGGAGGAATTTCACGAGCCCAGGAAAGAGTTTGGGAATAAACTGGTGATGTGAACACAAAGAACTAAGCGACCAAGCAGAACACCCAAACAACTAAAAAGTAAAAGTCAAGTACAACAGGAAGCCCCAGGAAAACTAAACTGCGAATCACGGCACGCGGTGCTGCCATGGGAACCTCGGTA